GGATGCGTCCAGCAGGCCGCTGGGGGGCCAGCAGCCGGGGGAAGCGGCTCATCACGGCGTCCACCAGGTGGGGGTGGAAGATGCCACAGAGCTTGACGTGCACGCTGGCCCGCTCCTCGGCGAACTGCTCGGGCAGGACCCAGGGGCAGGAGTCCCCGTAGGCGGGGCCCGGGGCTCTCTGCACGGCCCGAGGGGGCTGCAGCGGGAAGGGCTCGGACCAGTACTCGCGGGAGTGCGGCGCGGGGGCCTCGAACTCGCCGGGCAGGCTGTACTGCCCCGCGGGCACCGGCACCCCGTAGCCTGAGAAAGAGGGAGGCGGCCCCGAGGGAGGTATCTCGGGGCTATACTGCAAGAAGCTAGCACCAGAGGAAGGAGATTTATGGGAACCATGCTTGTAGGAGACCAGATCGTTTGGCTCCAAGCTGGGAGAGTGTGGGTAGACGGGTCTCTGCCTCCCGCAGGTGCAGACTGCCACCGGATCGGCATGGGAATGCTCGCAGTGACTGGCAGGGCTGTAAGGCCACATGTCAGACAGTTGGTTCTCCAGAGACCCGATGCCTGAGTCAAGGTGCTCCTGAGAGATGTAGGACAGAGAGTCCATTTGAGGCTGCTGGTACCTGTCAGAGGACCTGTGGCTCCCGCTGCTGGGAGGGGCACTGCCTGGCACGCAGCCTTTGACCTGAAGCAGAACGTCGCTGGGCTTTGCTTTGTGGGTCAAGCTTTTCCTCTCCACAGAGACCTTCTGCAAAGAGCTTTTATCACCCTCTGTAGGCACAGAGCACAAGAGCTCTGCCTGGGAACCTCTTTTGCCCTTTTTCTCCTCCTTGGCACTGGTACTTCTGGTAGGAGACAACCTTGCATTGGCTCGGAGTTCATCAGCTAACGAGCGCTGGGGCTGATTGATCCTTTCAGGGTGGTAGAATTTACACTTAATTCCATAAGTGCATTTCTTCCCTGCAAGAAAAGTCAGGGTGTGGAATGAGCATGGAACAAGCAAACTGAATTCTACTAAATGTATGAATTACAGTCTCACAGACACCTGTCCACATGTTTATGTCTTACCATAAGGGCACTGTTGTTTCTTGTGTTCTGGCACCACAGGTTTCTTTCTGAGAAAGTTATCCAGACTGGGGCCATGTCGTCCTAAGGGATCATCTGGAGGCATAAACCTACAAAAAAACCCAAACAACTGAATCAGGAGCAGCTCACTTTCTTGGGTGAGGGTTTCATTTCTTCAAGGATTAAAAGCCACCTAAGCCCTATAAAGCTTCCCTTCTTCACTGCAGGTAACCTTCCTGTCACCTGGTGAAGACCAGCATGAAATGCTTCACTCCAGGCACAGAAGAATTTTGTGCTCTGCTGCCAACCAGAACTAGTGCTTGCTGCTGGGCCTGCTAATCACTGTCCTGGAGCTCTCCTGGAGGAACTCTCCTAGGAATTCCACTACAGCAGAGCTCCTAGCTCCAAACCATCAACAGCTATTGAGATGACCTCAGTTCCTTAAGCCTTTGCTCCTCACCACAGTTGGGCAGTTCTTCCCACCACACTTCTACCAAAAAAATCTCCAAAGGATTTTTTTCAGCATTTTGTTCTTTTCGTGCATCACTTGCCATTGATCCCTAGAACAAGATGGCATGCTCACACACCTTATGAAAGGGCAAAGGAAGAATGGGAACATACTTGTCATTGACAAAGGAGTACATCAGCAGACGCTCCTCGATGAACTTCTTCCAGTCGGGGCGCTCGCTCTGCAGGTCCCGGTAGGTATCGTTGGAGACCACGACGCCGTCCGACTCGTGGGCCAGCTTCACAATGAACCTGTCGTCGTAGCAGACGACCCGCTTGCCTCCCACCCGCCTGGAGGGAGTGAAGACCAGGATCTTCTTCTTTTCAAGGTCACGGAGAATGTACTGATCTAGAACAAACACAACTGTGATCACCCTTACACAGCACAAAGTAACGCCATAAACACAACAAAATCCATGCAGTCCTTTCAGCTCTCCACAGCCTGTACTCTCATCTCTTCTTACACCATCCACAGGGCTGTCGGGGCTGGACTCCCAGCCACAGTGCCTGCAAAGCACCCGAGAACACTGGGGCACACCAGAGGCTGCTGTGACACACAAGGCCCAGACACAGAATTCTTGGCATGCAAGGACAATGTGCATTTAAGACTGGCAGGCTGGTATCTGCTGTAGCACCATACTACACACAGATTTCTCAGTAGAGTCACAAGAGCAAACTCCCCTCAGTTTGAGTAATTCTGGCCAAACTCCAGCTTTAACTTCTAGCATGCAGGAGTCCTGCGTGGTGTACAGTGTCAAACAGGTTACAGTAAATGCACAGCACAGAGATGTGTCCCTGAAAGAGGAAATTTGGAAGCAGAGTAGTATTACATTCTTTGTTCTCTGAATTATTCCAGCTGATCCAGGCAAGAACTTGTTCAGGGGAGAAGTTAATGACTAATTCTCACCAGTCAGCTTAGCTTACTGGACCTCCTACTACTCAGATCTTCCATTCAGAAGAACCAACTAGCCAGAACTTTGCAAGCTCATTAAGTGACAAAGAGTAAGCCTGAAAAGCTACTTTTGGTTTTCATATTTCCACACCTGTTATGAGTACATCTGGTCGTGGCTGCTCTTTCCTCCAAGACGGCACAAAGACTGTGATATCCTTGTGTCCCCTGTCCCAAAACCACTGGACAGCCAGAAGGATACCTCGGCAGGAGAACACTTCTTTATTTCCATGGCTGCGTCAAGAAAAGAATGGAGAATTGCAGCATTAGGGTTATGTACAGAGTAGTCAGGCAACACACTAAGCACATGGATCCAGCAACTCAGAGAACCTTTAGTGAAGAAGTGTTAGAGTAGCACAACCAGTATTTGTTGCTCATCTTGTGAAAATGGCAGCACTAAAATCTTCACAGAATTACTGTTGCTTTTAGCACCTCAGCGCACCAATAAATACCCAAACCCTCACTGGGCAGGAGGGAGCAGCTGTAACTGCTGCAGCTGCTCTGAAACAGAGCCAACTCTAGATCTTTATTTTTAGCCCCGAGTACAATGTGATCTTGAACACCCTTTGTCCTATTTTGCCAGCTAATGCCAGTGGAAACTGCACCCTCACAAGGTGTTCGCTTGCAAAGTTAAGGAAAACGACATTTTACACACTCAAAGATATCAGCACTAAGAAAAAATGCTTCTTCATTACATTATGGCCCTAAAAGGCAGTTACAAACATACTACTTGCACAAAAGAGCAACATCTCCTGCTAGCAGGATCAGTGTGAATGTCTCTACAGCACTTGGCAGTGTGAGAACTGAGTCTGGCATCGGCACCAGAAGCTGCCTAACGGTGCAAAAAGCTGCTTCTTAACTCTTAGGTCATATCAATAAGTTTCCAGAACTTCTCAGAGGAAACTACCATTCCTGTTTTACAAGTGGCAGTATTTATAGTGTAATTGGCTCTTCTGTTGATAATAGCTCTGGCAAGCTTTCAACATCTCTCTATCAGAGCCCGATTTGTCATGCTGGGGGTGCAATAGCTGCGTCCAGGGCGCCGCTCTGGTAAGATTTACTGTACAGAAGATAACTGGTCTCACAGTTCAGTAAGATTTTCCCCAATGGGGCACTACCCCTGCCCCAAGTCTTACTCTTCCCACCTACACTTGAATGACATTTCAACTGCCACCACCACTTCATATGCTGGTGAACTCCTCCATAAAGTCACTGCTGAAGAGCTGACACCCCAGCAGAGGCATCGCTAAGCACTTTCTGTAGTACTGCTAGAAAAATTTCTCTGCTCCTCCTCGCTCCTCTCAAACTATTAAGAGGATCAAAAAGTTGTACCAAAACACTTATTTTAAAAGAACTATACATTCAGCAACAAAACAAACACCTAACTACAATGTGTTGGGCACCTCTGAAAAATCCAAATTGCAGAAAGGCTGACATCAGCCTTCAGAAGGAAGGTGCTCTAAAATTTTCCCTCTGCTGTCACATTGGTTTTGCTAGAGGCAGGCAGACACACGTTACTGTAATCCTTTAGAGATAAATGAAGAAAGCAGGTTTTTTTTTTTTTTTAGTCCATGCTACCGATCTCAAATCTACAAAAAGTAGCTAATTGGGCTGATCTGATTTGGCAGCAGCCAAGAAAAAATTCCCTTAGAAGGAAGTAAAAGCTAATTTCCACTATGATTTGCATATGTTTGTCAAGAGCCGTTCAGGGAGGCCGCTGTACACACTGCAAATGAATCAGCAGGGAACATCACACCATCAGTACAGGAAGTTTCAGAACGGAATTCCCCTTCTAGCAAATTGCTTAAAAAAGGCAGAGTGCTGTTCTCATGTCAAACCACCCCACCAGCAGCACTCCTGCTGCCCGGCGTGCCCCGAGTCACATCTGCTGGGGTGGCTCCGGCACTTTTGGGGATCGGTTTCAAGGGTAAGAGGCTCCTCATTAAAATAACACAACCAATTCTGTTGTTTAAGCCTGAGCATTTATCTAAGGTAAACTTCACTGCAGGAGTCACACTTATCAGCTCAGAGCTCACAATGGGCCATTTTCCTCAAGTGACTGCACAGCTACTGGAGAGCGGCAGGACCAGGACTGGGCTCTCCCACAGACACCCAGGTCGCCTCTTTTACCCTTCAGCCCCGACTGATTGTCATCAGAGTTCCTTATTTGCCCTGGGACTTGCAGGCCCTGTTCATCAGTCACGCATCAGACCGTACCCCATCTCTTCTGAGTCCTGTTCTTGGAACTGTCAACCTCAGCTTAGAGAAAACCACACCTGCCAACAAGTCTCCTCGCAGCACTTTCACCTCGGACAAAATCCACAGCAGTGTGCACAGCACCTCCACGTGCACCCAGGTTTATTTTTATTTAAAGTCTGTGCACACATACTACAAGACCTACTAAGCTAAAGCACAGGAAGGAGACTTGTTTTGAACTGTGAGGACAAAGCTCAGTTCAGAAACTGTGAGCATGACATTCACAAAACCCAGACCTGGGCACACAGAGGTGGGCAGAGCAGCACCAGGGGCAGGGGCAGGCAACACTTGCCACCGTGCAGGATTAAAGTAGGGACATGGAGCCAATAAATAGCTCGCCCACAGATTCTTGGTGCTCCATGGAGCGTGGGGCTCCTGTGCTCCCG